ATATGCCATCCAAGTCTTCGATGGCGGCTTGCTTTCATCAACGGTGTGTTTCCGTCAGCGGTCAACAACTGTGAGCTGGCTTATTAGATTTCCATGAGAGCTTGAGAGAGAGAGAGAGAGCAGCTTGCTGCAGCCTCGGAAAGATCATCTGAATTCTGAAGTGGAGATGCGCCCAAAAAAGCTATTTTTGCCTCTTCTTCTAATAATCTCTTCATTGCTCCCCGTTGCATTGTCTGTATCCTCCCTCCTACCTCCGGAAGAGAGTAAGGGCTAGCTGACCTATATCTGCTGTCGTATTCGCATTTTTAGATGCTGGAAATCATTAAAGATTGTAACTTGCTTCTTCTTCTCATACTAAACCCAACCCGCATATGAAGAAATGCCCACAAGGAGAGTTCTAACTTTTTATAAATGTTTCTCAATCATTTTTCCTTAATTACGACTTGTTTCAGTGCCCTCTGTAGTTTTCATGAAGAAAGTGATGATTTTGGCTTATTTTTTGTTTCTCTGTGGAAGAGACTTTTTCTTAATCAACACTCATCAGTCTGGGTTTTGTTCCCTTTTCTTTTGTATCCTCAGTTGAAACCCTAAAACAAATCGCTGCGGTATTGAAGAAAACAGATTGGAACTTCAGTGTGGATCCGTGCAGTCAAGAAGCTGGCTGGGTAACTCATAATGCCGCAAAGGGATTCGAGAACAGCGTCTGGTGCAATAATTGCACTAATAATGGAACAAGCTGCCATGTGACAAGCATGTGAGTTTGGAGATTTCTTGCTATTTATAGCTCTTTGATGATTATCCCAGTAAATTGACTAAGTTATGTTTCTTGTTTGTTTGGGAAATCTACATAAGCAGCACACCATTCTTATGTATTTTGCATATCTCACAGCTAGACTTTCATATTTGCGTTCGCAGCACTTTTGTGCTTTAAAATTATGCATGAAAAGATGTATATCAGTTTGAAAAGGTGGTTATAGTGCTATTTAAAATGCGATATTAATGATTTGAGTGCTATTTGTCTAAATATGTAAATATGAAAGAATTGTGTCCTATGTATGCAAACGCCCCAATGTATTTTTGTCCTTGTTGGTGTTGGAGTTGGCTAACTATATGTTAGCTATTCTTATATTTTGAAGGTTTACATACCATTTAAGTCCTATGTATTTACATATCAAACACCAAAATTTCAATTTTTTACATACATACCACATTACCTATGCATGAAAGATCTATTTCACTTATTAAAATTTAAAAGTGTTGGTATTTTTGATGTGATATGGAAGGGTTGGGTACTATAAATGTAAAGATCAAACTTTAGGTGCTAGATGTGTACAGGGTTGGGTACTATAAATGTAAAGATCAAACTTTATGTGCTAGATGTGTAGATACATAGGAATTGGATGGTATGTATGTAAATGCACCATTTTGAATATCATGAAAACATTAACGGAGTTCCATGTTCCAACTAATGCTTCAACATTCAAGCTCTCAGTTCCAAAATCATTTCATTTTTTTCATTTATTTGTAAATAAATTTTTTACCTAGAAGGTGCTAACTGAAGAAGAGCTTTTTGATTAAGTGTTCCATTTTGCGCTTTCAGTGTGCTCAAGGCTCAAAATCTAGTCGGAACTCTACCGCCTCAAATGGCTTCGCTTCCATTCCTTCAAGAAATGTATGCCTTCCTAATGGATTATTGATGGAACAGTCTGACTAACCCTTGTAGTTTGTCGAAAACCTAGAACTAAGAGGAGCTTATATTTTTGCACAGTGATCTCACCCGCAACTTCCTGAGTGGAACAATACCCAATGAATGGGCTGTTCTTTCGCTGGTGAATGTGTAGGTCAACATTTTAATACTTAAGCTGAGGAAATGGAGGAAATTGTTGGGTTTTTCTGACTAATCATGGAATTTATAATGCAGTTCTCTTCTTGGAAATAGTATTTCAGGGCAAATTCCTTCATGGATCGGAAACATAACGACGCTTCAAACTCTGTAATTTGATATTATTTATACTATTCTTAATTTCTTCTCTTCTTGGTTAACAAGTTCATGAATTGTTTTGTTAACTTCTATTGGCCAGAGCACTCGAATCAAATCAATTTACTGGACCTCTTCCAAAGGAGCTGGGTTATCTTCCGAATTTACAGAATATGTAAGGCTTTTTCAAATATTCTTCAATCCCTATCATTGATTTAGTCTTCATCAAATTCATACTTAGATGTAAATTTTAGCAACAAACACCTCTATTCTGCAGGCAGTTCTCGGCGAATGCATTTACTGGAGAATTGCCAGACACTTTTGCTAACCTCTCAAATTTGGTATATTTGTAAGTGGTAAACTTATTTGTAATACAATATATCTTAATTCAAATAGATTGAAATTTATTGAGGGATAATTGTGTTGCAGTACGATTGGGAGTAACAACTTCACTGGAAAAATACCACAGTTCATTCAAAATTGGACACAGATTCAGAGAATGTTAGCAATTTTTCTTTATTCAACTAAATTCGTGTTTTAGCATTTTTAGCCTGAATTTGTCAGCTCTAATCTCTCAAAAATGCCCCATAATTTTTGTGTTTTGCAGAGATCTTCAAGCTAGTGGTCTTAAAGGACCTATTCCTAATGGAATGCCACTTTTAAAGAACTTAAATGACTTGTAAACAATGATTCCGTTATACGTTATTCTGCATTTTGTTTATATGTTTCACTTTATTTTACATAACATTGATACTGAATCTTTTGCCATACCTCAAATGATATTTCTACAACTTACACTTTGCAGGCGGATCAGTGATGTTACGGGAAACTCTGCTTTTCCACAGATCGAGGGTATGCAACAGTTGCAATACCTGTAAGCATTTCTGTTTCTCTAATAATTTTGTGCTGCGGAACTCTGATATATGTTTCTTGTTTGGGGCATTTGCATGCATACCACCCAATTCTTATGTACTTACATATCTAACATTTAAATTTACTATTTTACATTTATGCCACCCAAATATTTCATATCACTTCAAAAATACCACTATTTTAACTTTTAAATAGTGAGATACACCTATTTTTGCATGGGTAAAGTGGCTTTTATGTAAAACTTAAAGTTCAGATGTTAGATATGTAAATAGATAAGAATTGAGTGATATGCTTGTATGTAAAACTTAAAGTTCAGATGTTAGATATGTAAACAGATAAGAATTGAGTGATATGCTTGTAAATCTTTCTTTTTGTTTTTGAGTGACTATTATTTTGAAATAATAATTGTGCAGAACCGTAAGGAACTGTGGTATAACTGGAGAGATACCTCCATTCGTTGGATCATTTTTGTTACTCAAGCGCTTGTAAGTTGAGTATATATACATGGGAATTCGGCAAACGAAGCTTTTGCAACTATTTGCCCTTATTCTCGTTCAGTACTTTTTTTTTTATCATCATTGTTGATCATTAGCATTTAGACCCATTTTTTGGGGGAACTTTTGAATCCTCATAGAAGCTTTAAATATTAAATTCCTTGAACCGGAGAGGTCATTCTTTTAAATTAAAATTTTTTAAATTCATCAATCAAACTATTGAAGTTAAAATAAATCATTTATGAGTTAAAGCAAATCACATCCAACCTCTACAACAGTTTGTCGAGGGTGATTAATTTTTGATTGATTTTAGCTCACAAAGAATGAATGTCATATTAAATGCACCTATATATTCACAATGAAAGCAATCACATGCGAGTAAAGACGTGATCCGAGTCTTCTGTTCGCGTGGTTTCACCGCCAAATGGCTTGTGAATCATAAGGGTACAATTGGTTGACATAAAGTCTTCTGTTAGCTAAGGTCGACTTAAATTTCTCTTATTTGACAAACATCAACTCCGAATTTACAAGGATCTCTTGGACGATGCAACCCATGACCATTGACAAGAATCCTTTTGTCAGGTTAAGTCGACTACCTGCTCTGGCTAAGTAGATCATGGGCCACGACGACCCATGATAGTGAAACCATGATTTTGATCGGATTTCATCTTTATTCCCCCACCCTCTGCTTTAAATTTTAGGTAATAAATTTTCAACTAAATTTGTGTTTATGCTGCTATTATATGTTAAATATTCAATTCTTAATTACTAACCTTAATCAAATGTGCTCATCTGTTATTGTGAGGGGTAATTAATCATAGAGGCTCGTGATTATGTGAAAACTAGAACCACATATCAAAAAGTCATTGCAAAATAAGGGCGAAGTCTTCGGGTAGTGTCTTATCTACAATTCGATATGCTTTCTGAAAATTTAACCCTCTAAAGCTCTCTCAACAAACAAAAAAATAAAATAATTGTAGAAAGTTGTACCGGGGAGCGGTCATTAATTTTCGGAGCCCACATATTCCTGCAATCTCGAGCCTCTTATCTTCCAAAATCTTCATTTATGCTAAACTTTCAATTATTTCGCTTTAGTTCACTTATAAGAGTTGTCAAATGTAAATAATATAAATGAAGATCGGGTGTGCATTTTATTGGTTTGCTAGTTTGGTTTATACTCGCTGGATTGGCTAAAACATTTGGTTTTAAATTTCCCCTAATGGAAAACTTTATACCTGAAGTTAGTTCATAATTCAATCAAATCAAACCATCAAAATTGGTTATGCCAAAACCAAACTTGCTTGAATTGGATTTTAACCTATCTTTCATAAATTAAATATTCTCGAAACCAAAACATAGTCTGGAAACTATATTCAAATATGGATTGTTGATTTGGAATTAATAGTTAGTTTTTCTGTTTGTCGGTTTTTTGGAAGCAAAAATGAATTGAAATTGAGTTATCAGAGTATACCAAATTTTATAAAAAGCATAACTTATTGTTTCAAATTGAACTAAACCAATTGAATTATACTGTTTTATTTTATATTATCACAATGATCACCCCTACCAAGTTGCATCATTCAAATATCTTTTACAAGAATTTTCATAACCATTAAAAAGGTTACTAATTTAATTCTGATCTTTTATGCAATTTTGTATTGTTGAGATTTGTAGAAATATCTTTTACAAGAATTTTCATAACCATTAAAAGGTTACTAATTTAATTCTGTTCTTTAATGCAAATTTTGTAGCTTATTTTGAGGGGTCTAATTCTAAATAGGAAATATAAAAGAAGTCTAAGGGTTATTTGTAAAAATTTTATAAGGTTCTATGTAAGACCAACTCATGAATGAAGGAAATATGCTTTTGTATCGAAGTAATTATTTCTTCATGTTATCAAAGCCAACATCGCCATTGCTTCTCAATCGAACTTGGACGAGTCGGGATCGACAATGTGGAGACCCGAGCGGTGTATGTAGATGGTTCTCAGTTGCTTTGTCGTGTCGATCGTATGCTAGCTGAGAAGGCAAGGACAGGATTGCGACATGAAAGACCAACAACAAGATTCAACATTGGGATCACGTGGTACAAAGATTGTGACTCAAATTTCTTGAGGTACAAAGACCCAAAACTTGCATTTTTCTCTTTCTTCTGCTTAATCATCGTGATTCATTCACAATTAGAGCTAACCAAGAAGGCGGCGGTGGGATTGTGGCGTGACCCTTGCGATACAGTTGCGACGTGACCCTCAAGTTACAGTAGCGCTAGCTGGGGAGAGTAGGGTTTCACTTCCAGGCTCACCGAGAGACCTCTTGTCTAGAAGTCTCCGGCCTCAACCATCGCACTTCGTTTCTCAGCGATGTTTGGCAAGGAGGGGGCACATATTTTTGTTTGATGTTTGTCATGGGAAACCACGAAATGGGATCTCGATGCTGTGTTTAGCCGATTTGACAAGGTTATGGACTCGCAAATTATGGTTGAAAGAGATGCAGAGAGGCCTCGTGGATTTGAATTTGTGGCTTTTGCTGACAGACGTGGATGCTATCAGAGAGATGAAGCTGAACGGTCGACAAATATCAGCAACAGGGCCAAGCCAAAGGTGGGTTCAAATGATTCAGGCTAAAGTTATAGTGGTGGGGGTTACTCTTCTAGTGGAGCAAATGGAAGAAAATTATCTTCTTGTTCTAGAACTGACAGAGGTGAAAAAAGAGGCAACTAAGCAAATCTGATGTAGCAAAGAACGAGGGAAAGATATGGGTGTCTTTACCGACAATGTTATAAAAGGAGTAGGCCCTGGCGAGACGTTTTAACTGTTACGGGGTGATGCGTAAGCCCCAAGGCGTTGGGCGTAAACTCCATAACATAAAAAAAATAAGGAATATAAATATTAAGCAAAAAAACATTATTTGTGCTTAATAAAAAATTAAGAGACATTAAAAGAACTTATACTCATTCAATTCAAAACAAGTCTTCTAGGATTAGAATTTTCAAGATATTAACAAAAATCCACAACAAAAAGTATAAACATATAAAAATAAGTAAACATGCTTTGTCAAAAAATAAATTTGGGATCAATCGATCTTAATCCTTAAATGTTATTCATTCTTCAAATTTATTCTCAGAATCTTCTTATTCTTCACCAATACTCATGTTCAAATTACAAATATGTTCTTCATATTCTTTGCATTAATTGTTCACTTCATTAAAGTCATCATTATACTCAATCTCAGGTATATTCCTAATTTGTTTCTTCTTATCATTGTTGCCTAAATTATAAACACAAACAAAACGACATTCTTAAATATTTATGATCTTTTTTTTCTATAAGAAATTAAGAATACATAATTATGTAAAGAACAATTAAATGTAAATATGAAACTTGCTCTTTCATTCTTTTTCCTTTTCCAGTGAGAATATGCTATAAAAATATCCCTTCTTCTTTGTGTAATATTTTGTGATTCTTCATTTTCATTACTCATAGGCGCATTTTTGATTACATCAATATCAAATACTAGTCCGTCTTCATTCATCCAAGAAAGTTCTTGTGCAAGCACTGAATCTTCTTTCTCTACAATTCACTCCTCATTAGAGTCTATATCATTTATCAATATTGGATCGAAGTTTTGGCTTCTTCTCATACTTTTTTCCCTCATTTAGTATTATATCTTATATATACCAGAGCATTCAATCTCTTGTGCTCGAACATTTTCCTATTCTTAGTATAAATTTAAGATAAAATATATTATTTTTAAGAGGTGATTATAAAAACAAATAATACTAATTTTATGAAATAAAAAGAATTATTATCGATGCAAAAGTGCTCTAATTTTTTTCACAACCTGATGAACTTCATGTGACGTTAAGAACTCAAATAACAAAATTTGTTAACCCAGGTGTTTTCTCACAAAATCTCATACACCAATCAACAGGAGATCTCAATCTTAATCCTTAAATGTTATTCATTCTTCAAATTTATCCTCAGAATCTTCTTATTCTTCACCAATACTCATGTCCAAATTACAAATATGTTCTTCATATTCTCTGCATTAATTGTTCACTTCATTAAAGTCATCATTATACTCAATCTCAGGTATATTCCTAATTTGTTTCTTCTTATCATTGTTGCCTAAATTATAAACACAAATAAAATGACATTCTTAAATATTTATGATCTTTTTTTTCTATAAGAAATTAAGAATACATAATTATGTAAAGAACAATTAAATGTAAATATGAAACTTGCTCTTTCATTCTTTTTCCTTTTCCAGTGAGAATATGCTATAAAAATATCCCTTCTTCTTTGTGTAATATTTTGTGATTCTTCATTTTCATTACTCATAGGCGCATTTTTGATTACATCAATATCAAATACTAGTCCGTCTTCATTCATCCAAGAAAGTTCTTGTGCAAGCACTGAATCTTCTTTCTCTACAATTCACTCCTCATTAGAGTCTATATCATTTATCAATATTGGATCGAAGTTTTGGCTTCTTCTCATACTTTTTTCCCTCATTTAGTATTATATCTTATATATACCAGAGCATTCAATCTCTTGTGCTCGAACATTTTCCTATTCTTAGTATAAATTTAAGATAAAATATATTATTTTTAAGAGGTGATTATAAAAACAAATAATACTAATTTTATGAAATAAAAAGAATTATTATCGATGCAAAAGTGCTCTAATTTTTTTCACAACCTGATGAACTTCATGTGACGTTAAGAACTCAAATAACAAAATTTGTTAACCCAGGTGTTTTCCCACAAAATCTCATACACACACCAATCAACAGGAGATCTCAACTTTCTTGAGTTCATAACAATTCTTGACACATGGCATAGTGAACTCTGACACTTGGATAGAGAGGGTATGGACTCAGCCTTGGCATCTATGGTTGAGAATGTTCGAGCAAAAGGATCTGAGAGGAGTGCAGAGGATATTTTTGCTACTACATCACATACACATGAGACACTCTTCATTTAATCTATAGAATAGTTTGTATCCATCATTGTATGAAAAAATTAATAAACATAAACTTGTTTGTGATGCTTGTGAGTTTATTATTTTAGTTATAGTAAGGAAGTTCTTATGTTTTTTATTTGGTGCACTCTGATATGAGGACCTTGTCCTACAACTTTCATCAATTGTTTTTCAAGTGTTACTTGGTTATATCTGATGAGAAACAAAAGTGATATGCTTGTCTGATTTAAAGAATTTTATAGGACGATTTATACTCAATATGGTTCAATAATAAAGAAACTAAAGTTTGATAATAGGACAAAATATACTAACAAGACGTTTGGGGAATACTTGTCAGTCCAAGGGATACAACATTAAACCACATGTTCATACACACTGACACTAAATAGAGTAGCTGAGAACAAGAATAGACATCTTCCAAAGGTAGCTTGAAGCATGATGATTATGATGAATGTCCCAAAACACTTGTGGGGGGAAATAGTTTTGACAATGGCTCATATGATCAACAGAATGCCCTCAAGAGTGTCGGATTGAAAGTCTCATTGTCAAATGTTGAAACGAGATAATAACGAAATCCTCCCATTGAATGTTTTTGGTTGTGTATGTTTTGTGAAGAACAACAGACCATTAGTAGGGAAACTGGATCCTTGAACTGTAAAGTGTTTTCATGGGTTATTCTGCTATCAAAAAGGGTTATGTTCTTTGAAGTTCGATAGAGGAGAGACTGTTTGTGAGCATGAATATGTTCTTTATAGAGTTCGAACCGTATTACACTTTGGAGGTGATCTCACACTTTTGTAACTCCTCAGATACTGGAGATATAAGGTGTGAGGTGGAGAGTAATGATGGTCAGGGATTGGTGCATGTGGGAAAGATGCCTCGTCCCATTGTGTGGGAAAGATCAGATGAGAAAAAAACCAAAAAA